CCCCCCAAGCTGCGTGCATCTTTCTTTAGCAAAGAAGCAAAATAAAGAATCGTGCATTGAATAATCTCTAACCTCAACCTCAATCGAAATGCTGCCGAACGATTCGCATTATCCACCTTTGAGAGTGACTTTCTCGATGTAATATTGAATAAGAAAAAGAATTAGGATGATATTATCGTGATTACTTACTGTAATTGAAGTACAACTTCCCCAGCGTCATCGATAAGGAGAATAGGAAGAGCGATACACTGACAGTCCATTCGTTCACACGAAGCTTCCTCCAGAACGTCGCCGGCTCTTCGGTCACGACAGCGGCGGCAAAACTGCCGTTCCCGTTCGTCCATCTCGGGGACTCGGTGATTTTCATCCTTTGGAACATCGTCAACGTCGTCGGGAACGTTCTCCTCCGGGAACAGGCAATGATCGCGTAGGATACGCACTCACTGCGCACACACAATGTACACAGGTGCGGCCTGTATCACCCACGAATGACAAGTCGTGCCGTTTCCAAAAATAAACGTGAACAACCAGTGAACACACACACTCACACGCGCGTTCAAGGAAGGGCGCGCATGCGCTGCCTCACAGTTATTCCGCGTCAGGAACGTACACGCATCACTAAGTACCCAATGCTCGAATATTCGTATTTTTTTCAACGATATCTAAACGAAAAGTCGGTAGAGGAAAGTGTCTACGACACTTTTAAGATTTTTTCGCTAAATTCTGATTAAGTTAATCGACGATTGATTTAGCCAGCCGACAAGCGCGTGGAATAAAGAACAATTATTAAAACGGATAAGAAAATTTGTACTTTATAACTTGTATTTAAAATTGCTATAAATCTCATGTATCATCCGTTGTATGTTGCTACATATCCACAATTATTAATTTATTGATTATCGTTGAGCAAGAAATGATGGAGAACAGCTTTCCAATGGAGAACTGAATTCTCTATTAGAAAGCTGTTCTCTTATTGGATATCGGACGTCGTACGTTGGAAATCGGAGGCGGAATGAATCCTGCATTACGTAAGAACTTATTTTGAACTCTCGTCGATAAAAGTATCTCTGTGTGACTCATAAGTCCTTCAATTTACTTATAAATCTATTTAGAGGAGTTTTTATCAATAAAGGAAAGTTTAGAATAAGGGCCATAGAAATGACCAATTTGATACGGCACCCTTCGAAGACGGCCGCTATACACGGCGTTGAGCGTTTTCATTGGCGCACCGTGTCCTTTGACAGCGTGCGACGCGTTGCGAGGGGCGCGAGAAGCGCAGGGGGCTGAAGATGACCGCGCGATCGCGGCGTTTGGTCGACTCGCGCGCGCTCGAGGTAGTGAAGTTGGCGGCTTGTGAGGGCGCACGCGCGCACTCGTGCGAACAACCGTCAGTACGCGCGAGTCAGCCGCGCGTGGTGGATCGTTGTGTGATTGTTCGTTGTCTGACGGCTATCACCGCGTGTGTACCGAGTGAGAGTGAGCGACTCGAACGAGTGTGAGAAGAAGCGCAGCAAGAAAGGGGGAAAGAGAGAAGCAGAGGATGGCAAGCCACGACGATGTCGGTATCGGCGACTTCGTGCTGTTGGACGAGATCACCGTCGAACGCGTGGTGGAGAACCTGAAGACGAGGTACGTATTCGCCCTGCCACCGCCGCCACCGCCGCCGCCGGCCATCGCCGTCCTCGCCGTCATCGTCGGCGGTTGGCGGGGTCCGCGGCATCGCAGACGCTATGACAGGTAGGAGACGGCAGGGAGCGTCGCGTCCCGCTGCGACGATTCCTCGCGGTCACCTCATCGCCGCTCCCGCGAGAGGGCGTGGCTTACGCATCAGCAGGTGGTCGCGCGACACCCTGAGCATAGGTGGTAAAAGGTCAGCTGACCCTTTTTTTTAATATATGCTCTTCTAGACTTTCCACCTCATAAACATGGCGAAACGAGGGCGACGGCGTCGTAAATACTGATTAACCGCCTCGCTCATTTTTCACTTTGTGGTTTAACCGATCACTTTCATTCTCTCGTGAAACCTGGAGTTGAAAAGGGACAGAGGATCGGGTGAATCTCTTATGTTCTTCGGAAAGTTATTCACGGCAAAGTGTAAAGAGCGGATTATACTTTGTAGATACGCGGAGCAATGGCCTGCAAGTGACTTTCTCGAATGATAAGCGAAAGGAAATTTCTGTAGGAAATAGTAACATACCCGTCATGTCACTCTTCTTATCTTCTTGTACGTTTCAAATACGTCTTTGAAATGTAGATCTGACATAGTAAATTACGACCTATCTACAGCATAACTTAAACCTGACTCGCTAACGACAAGCACGATATCGTAGCGACGAGGTCGTTTTCACCGGTGAACCTAGGTTGGTTAATTTTGACGACAGTCAGTCTCTCTGTGAACGCCGACTGCATGCTAACTCCATCGCCTTTTTCATCAACACAGCCGAATGTGACGGGAGCAAGAAAGAGAAACGTGAGATCTTTAATGCGATTGTCGTTAATTTAATCACTATTATTATCGTTTCCGTTTATATTACAGAGAGAAAATTGTAATAAGTACAAATGAGCAGCGTGTCGTAACGGAGACCTGGCTGCAACTGGCTTCTAAATGACAATAATAAGAGCCGATTGCGCAAATTGGCGCTAACCGCAGTTAATCCTTTTCTCCTCTGTCTCCGCGAACGAAATTGTAATCCGGGACAGGAAACAGCGACTCACGGCGAACCCAGGATTTGCCCGGTTAACCTGAGAATCGTCATGGCGACTCTAAATGCGTCATCGATGATCAGTCTCTCCTTTGCAAAATTGGCATTTTTTATTCGGTCACGAGTTCCCTCTAACAAACTTCTGGCCGATTGTTTTTCATCAAGAGAACTCCCGAGACTCCCGTGACGTACGATACTGGAACGGATACTTGGTAATATCGAATTCGGGGCCTGTAAGAGAAACTTCAATCTGTGGTTTTAAATTTCTGGATCGAATTCCCGGAGTAAGATAAATAACGGTCCTCGACTTCAATTTTCCATTTCGTTTGCGTTTGTTTGTCCGCCTTCGCGTGATCTCGCGATCAAATTGCCCGAGGCAATTGGCGTGATTTCAGACTGAAAGGCGCGCACACGAGATATGAAATTGCAACTCGACGCTGCTCGACAGAAAGCAACACGTCAGTGAAACGCTCCTAATACACCTCACTACACCTGCCGGAGCTGCTGTGCCCGTCCACGTTATAAAGTGTGTGTGGAATTGAATATCACACTGCGAGTAAATGACGGAAGTGCCGGCGATATCTGTTGCGCTGTATCGTTTCGCGGATCGAGAGTGCTCGTACTCGCGCTCGTGTGCGTTGCACACGTTAGTCGCGAAGTCGCCTCTCGAAAAGAGCAATTGACGTTGAATCCGAGTTGAATCAAATTTGTCTATTTTTTCTCTGATCTTTATTTCTTTTTCTTTTCATGATAACAAGGCTTACCAAAATTCTATCGAGAACGAAATTCGGAACATTCACACTTCTCTGTTCGCGAGTGAGCGACATGACTAGAATCTGCCGACGGCACGTCGGGCATTCTTCCTTGACATTTTCTACAAAGTTACTTGCGCGCCAGATCTGGATTCAACCCAGTCGCGCCACTCCAAGCTCAACGATACACGCACACGTGTGACGCATTTCTTGGAAGATATACACTCATGAGTAAAGATGAATGACGCGCTCTGATTCATCGTGCAGTAAAAACTCCGTACGCACCGCGCGTAAATCTCGACTAATTTTTGCACCCTAAGTCGCATCACGTCGTATTTCTTCACTCGAGGGAGTCCTCGAAGAACTGTTTGCGAGTCCCTTGCAAAATAGCATCGCTTATCGCAACTACGTCGTATTATCGAGCTGCCTGGTTTAAGAAAGTATTCCCCTGGTATTATTATTATATCGATACCGTCGATTTCGCTGTATAACTTCGCTGTATAGAAGTTTGTCATTTCGCACGACTCCGGAGATACTTTGTTAGTTCCTTTCAAAACTAGATGTCAAACGGGTTCGCCGGATATTTTTTTCCACGCTTCAACGAAATCATTGATCACCCCGGCCGTTCGCTAAATGACCTGCAACTTTCACGAGGGGCAAGGAAACGTGGGGAAATATATGCGTAGAGATAATAATCGTATTTCTGTTTAACATTGAATATACAAATTTAACATTGGATTTGGTTAACATAGCCAGATTTATATGTGGGCCAACTGTCCTGTTTTTCCGTGAATTGTTTATTCCATTTAAATGAAAGAATTCAAATAAAATAATTTCAGGAATTTAATTTTCGATAAATATGTTATTAGCATCCGCCGAATAAATATCTTTTTTATTTTTCAGATTCCTTTTCTCTCACAATGTACACACGGCGACACGACTTAGCGATCTTCGACAACGACTTCTACTCGAAAAAAAGCGAATAATTAAGTGATTCTTTCTGGCTTTGTGGCGATTTGATCAGTCTTATCGAAAGAGAAGAGCTTGAAACTTTCATATCGAAATCACACACTTGTACATCCTTTTGAATTATTATAATATCGCTGTATAACTGATATGTAGGGCGAGCTTTTATTTTTACCTATTATGTCACTATTCCGGCCAACGGCTCACGTTGATATCGTCTCCAACGCCAACGCGCGACGAGAAGAATAGGGTATAACCACACGCGCAAACCGCACGCACACACACAACGGTAAACGCGCGAGAACATAAGCGTGCAAAGACATCCTAGGACGCACGCGATGAATATGCCGTTCGCGTAATTCTTATCGGGGTTTGTACGCCGGCGATGAATCATCGTCCAATCGTTGCATAGTTTTTGGATTATGCTCGCGTCACTGCCGCGAGGCTCGGGCCGCCAATAATTATAAGCAATTAATATACAATTGACAAACAACGTCACGCTCGCGACGGCATTTGCGATTGTAGTGTAGCTAGTGCACACGTGACGTTAAACTAAATAGCGATACAATGTTACATGGAATAGGGATATATACATTCCGATGGGTAACTCTTACTCTTCGCCGGAAATAGAATACGTGTTGTTTGCTCGCGGCAAATGCACTGTGTATTGTCCACAAAATATGACTCATTATGGCTCGATAATTTCCAAGCCGATCGACGATAATTCTTATCTCTCGTCGTCAACGAACGTGAATTGACAACTTGTGGCTTTCACGAAACTAGAAAACTATTAACGAGGAATTTCCCTGTCCGGAGAAAGCGCTTTGTCGCGTTGCCGTACAACTTGCGTAACTTCGTTTTACTTTAATAAACGATACTCTCTTTCTCTGCGCAGGCGGTTTCCGCATGTGTATGTATCGATATGCTTTGTGTTGCAGGTTTAACGGAGGAAAGATTTATACGTACATCGGCGAGGTGTGCGTGAGCGTGAATCCCTACAGACACACCAACATCTACGATGCGGATCAAATTAATAAGTACAAAGGTACGGTACAGATCATACCCCGTGATGTTCCATTTCGAAAGAAACATCATAACATAAACTTATAAAAAACGTCTCAAACACACTTTGCTTTTGCTGGATGTGTCTTAGGCGTTTCTTAGAACTTTAAGATTTTATTCGTGCCAAGGTAGTAGTGCATTGAGATAAGTAGAAGACGCTTGGCGCGTGTATAATCCCTGTAATTCCAACCGACTTATCGTGGAAATTGTTTTCAGGCAGGGAACTATTCGAAAACCCGCCGCACATTTTTGCGATCGCGGACGCGGTGCATAAGGAGATGAAGCAACAGGGCCGAGACACATGTATAGTAATAAGCGGCGAGTCTGGCTCCGGCAAAACGGAGGCTAGCAAAATCATTATGAAATATATCGCCGCTGTTACCAATCTGAGCGGTCAACAGGAGATCGAAAGGTATAGACGTGCGCGCAAGAGAAAATAGGAGTTCTTATCGGTTTTTGTTATCTAATCGAATGCCATAAGCGATAAGATTACAATCTAGTACATTTTTCTGTTACAAATGAGATTGTAGATCGTGCCAATTTTGCACGATCGCTGAACATCATACGAGACGAGGTCGCGCACAAAGTATACGAAGGATATTCTCGTTTCACGGTGAAAGCACTAATTCGACCTCGTCCGAAATGACACATCCGTACGTTCCAGGGTTAAGAACATCCTCATCCAGTCGAATTCGATACTGGAGGCATTTGGCAATGCCAAGACGAACAGGAACGACAACTCATCACGTTTCGGAAAATATATGGACATCAATTTCGACTTCAAGGGCGATCCCGTGGGCGGACACGTGACCAATTATCTCCTGGAGAAGTCGCGGGTGGTTTATCAGCAAAAAGGGGAACGCAACTTTCACTGTTTTTATCAGGTATCATTTGCTCGCTCGCTCGCTCGCTAGAATGCGCGAATCCGATTGATTAAAATACTCACGAATGAATTTACGCGTAAATTGCAGCTACTAAATGGCTGCAGCGAGTCCGAATTGAAGAAATTACGTCTGGTGCGGGATCCGACGGCCTACCACTTCATCGGCAACGGAAACAACAATAAAGTGCCTACCTCTGACAGAAGCGACTACAAAACCGTGAACAGCGCCATGTCTATGCTCGGATTCTCCCCGAATGAGATACAGACTGTATGGAGTATCATCTCCGGTGTCCTGCATCTGGTAATTGACACAAAAATTAATCGCTTCGACAGAGCCAGCAAATTTTTGCTCGATGAAAGGCGCTTTATTCATCTGTCTCTTTTCAAATTGATTTTTCGCTTGATAATTACTTCTTTCTTACTCTTTTTAGGGCAATATCACCTTCAAGCTGGAAGACGACAAGCTTTTAATTCAAAATCATTCTGCCTTGAACGACACTGCCAATTTATTCTCCATCAGCTCGAAGGACCTGAGCACCGCTCTCTCGCAGAGGGTCATAGCGGCCGGCGGCGAAGTCATGCAAAAAACTCACACATTGGTGGAGGCTGAGTATGGCAGAGATGCTTTGGCAAAGGTAGCAATGATATAAACTTTCTTCATTCATTTGTTGTATAATTGTCACATATTAAGAGATGAATATTTCAGGCTATATACGAGCGATTGTTTACATGGATAGTATCACGCGTCAATGGCTCGATCAATGTGAACGATCTTGACAATGTAAAGCGGTACGGAACGGTGATTGGTGTGCTAGACATCTATGGCTTCGAAATCTTCGACGCAAATAGCTTCGAGCAGTTTTGCATCAATTACTGCAACGAAAAACTGCAGCAACTCTTTATCGGTGAGTTTAATGCTAACACATGAACGCGAGAACGTTCGTATGTGGATTGAGAGATATAATTGAGAAATTACGGAGACAGCACCAATTTTAAACAAATCTTTTTCGGCAGAACTGGTTCTCAAACAAGAGCAAGAGGAGTACCAGAGGGAAGGGATAGCATGGCAACACATTGAATATTTTAACAATCAAATTATCTGCGAATTGGTCGAGCAAGCTCACAAGGGAATCATAGCGATCATGGATGAGGCCTGTCTTAACGTTGGAAAAGTCACCGACGAGGTAAGGTAAATCGAGATTTTCACGGAGTAAACTTACGGATGAGTGTGAAAGATAGAAAGGGGAATTTTTTCTTTTAGATGCTCCTGAATGCGATGGATAAGAAGCTAGCGGATCACAAACACTACACCTCTCGACAGTTGAAACCAATGGACAAAGAACTGCAGCATAAAATCGAGTTTAAAATCAAACATTACGCCGGCGACGTGATTTACAATATCAATGGCTTCCTCGACAAGAACAAAGATACGCTCTTCCAAGATTTAAAACGTTTGCTCTATAAGAGCAATAATTCATTGATTAGTGAAATGTGGCCCGAGGGTTCGCAAAATATTTTAAAGGTACGAAAAATAGATCACAAAACAAAGCAAATTGTGTCTTAACAACTTCAATGCCGTGATTACACAATTCAACTTATTCCTTTTGAAGATCATATCTACTTAAGGTTATTATGAATTATTAATTAATGGTTGTAGACGACAAAGAGACCTCAAACCGCTGGCACGTTATTCCGCAATTCTATGATCGCGCTAGTGAAGAATCTAACGAGCAAGGAGCCGTTTTACGTGAGATGTATAAAACCTAATGAAGTGAAGTCTCCAGTCGTGTTCGACGACGAGAGAGTAAATCATCAAGTGAGATATTTGGGTCTTGTAGAGAACATATTAGTAAGACGCGCTGGTTTCGTATACAGACTGCGATACGACAAATTTTTGAAAAGGTAAACAGCTTCTCAAACCATAAACGGTCTTAAACGTGTCCTCTCTTTTACTTATGGTACAAAATAATATCGCAATATACATGGCCAAACTTATATATAATTCTGTTTGAACACTCACGAAGGAATTTGGTCTTACCAGGTACAAAATGATATCGCAATACACATGGCCGAACTTCCGAGGCGGCAACGACAAAGACGGGGTACGCACGCTAATGGACGAGAAAGGTTTTTCGAACGACGTAAAGTACGGTCACACGAAGATTTTCATTCGCTCGCCGCAAACTCTGTTCGCGTTAGAAAAGGTTAATTGATATGTACAGACTATCCAACTTAATTATACTTGTTATAATATTTACATACATAGATATCATACTCTGAATTCCTTACAGAGTGTACTTACACTATTATTTACTCGCAGGCTCGCAGCGAGTTAATACCAGGCATCGTGGTTCTTTTGCAAAAGCAATGGCGAGGATACTTGTGCCGTCAGAAGTACAAGAAGATGAAGGCCGCGCTGGTTATGATGAAGCACTATGTCAAGTACAAGCAACGCGTTTACATCAGCAAGCTGGAGCAAATGTTCAGGCCTGCCAAGAAAATGCGGGACTATGGCAAACATCTACCCTGGCCACCGGAAAACTTCGCCGTGAGACACGTTGTACCCGCTCTAAAGAACATATATGCGAGATGGTGGGCATGGATGGTGCTCAAAGTAATCCCACGGGAGGATTGGCCACAGCTGCGACTGAAGGTACGTTGTCATGAATGTTCGCTAGTTAAATTAAATTAAACGTCTCAATGAAGTGAATTTCTCGTAATAACTTCTACTTTTGTTTCGTTTTAGATGGCAGCGGGCGCCGTGTTGCGCTCAAAGCGATCTTACTGGGGTCAAGATCGCCGATGGGAAGGAAACTACTTATGCGTAGCGGATGAGAATCCTCACAGTGACGTCTTTATTTCTTCGATAAACAATCTACGAAACACTGACCATTTCAAGACTATCTTGTTCAGCGCATTTATCAAGAAAACCAACAGGTTTCACATTTTTCGAATATTTGAAATTGATAACATAATTTGATATAGGAACATTCTATTAATAATGCTATAAATGATGCAGATTTAACAAGCCTGCGAACCGCGTTCTGATAGTAACGGAACATGCTGTCTACAAACTAGACGGTGTTAAATTCAAGAATATGAAGAAGGGCATGCCAATTGCGGAGATTACTGGTTTGAGCGTGTCACCCGGAAAGGATCAACTCATCACCATTCATTCAAACCGTGGAAACGATTTCATTCTCTCAATCATTGCTAAAGACGACAGAGTTGGAGAACTCGTTGGCGTACTCAGTAACCGATATTATCAGTAAGTCGCTTTTTTCATTTATGAGTTCTTGCGTTAGACTAAGTATAGTTAAACTAGTATCTCCTAGAAACATTTGAGATAAAATAGTCCATGCAACTAAATTTACATATATAATGTAAATCACTTATCACGACTAATATAAGTTCAATCTCGGAAAAATCAATAATTACTCTATTTGTAAATTAGTGTAAGAGAAAATAACTAGGAAAACATTGAACAAATGAGATTGTACCATTTTTTAAATGAGCCGCTCATACATAAAAAGTATCTCTATGTATTTTTTTAAACATATATCTGATTCATATATCATGAATGCTTAAGATATTCGTTACACTTGAAAATTGTGGTCTTCAAGAGGATTTTGCCAGAGAGATTCAAAATTCTAAGTTTGTGTCATACAAGTGCTTAAAATACATAATTTCAAGAATGAAACATTACAATGAAATCTATTTTCTCGGCAGATTGCGTGGTGCCGATCTGCACGTCACTGTGGACACGAGGTTCAAGTGTATGTTGGGCAACAAAAGCAAAGTATTGCGTGTCGAGGTAATACCCGACGTGATGGAGCCCACGTTCAAGCAGGACAGCAACAATATCATTTACGCCATCCCACCGTCAGTGGCAATCATCGATAACGGTACTAATACAAGATTGGATATGGATATCCGTACGGCCAGTTAAAACCCGACGATCCGTCCGATTACCGATACTCATTATGCTCTTGCACTAATGAATTTGGAACATACATCTTTGACGTTATTGAAGCTTAAAGCTTTATTGACCATTGTGCCTGCATAATATATTATATACACTTATCGAATGTCAGAAGAGAAAACACGAGGAACAGATATTGCAGTACAACAGTTACGTGACACACCTATATGTACACAGCTATACGAATCGACTGTGTAACATGTGGGAGCGTACGAGAAATCTTTAAACTTCGTCCTTCGAATACTTATCGCAGAGTTCTCCACACATGACGCATTTATTTGTAAATACTATATAGTATTATAAATATTGTTAGCTTGTAATTGCGTGAAGACAAGAAGTGTGGACCTAAAAAAGTTCTTTATCTTGGAATGCATTTATATACACATATATGTAACTTATACTCGGGATGATTTTGACACCTTGTCGAAGATAATCGGATTTTCGGAGATCGGATTTTAATGCAAATTTTTCGTGGTAATTAGGAACAAATTTCTCATCGACTCCAGCGTAAACGTTGTAAGTGCTTGTGGCCTTCTACTTACTATTTATATCGTAGATTGGAATATTTTTTTAATATTTTTTACATATGAAAATTTTACGGCGCGCAAATAAAGTATATAACTATGGATGTTACACCGCGCATAGTGCCTACTAATTTGCGACACATACGTATAACGAGAGTTATATATATATATATGTACATTATTTTCCAAAGAGTTTTGTATTCTTCCATCATGTACTTAGGATAAAAGAGATTCTATATAAACACACCGCGCGCGCGTACATACATTATGCAAATAAGATTAATCAAAATATACATATTATTTTAATGTTGATTTGATCAACGCGTGAAGGAAATTATTGTACATTGCCATATAGGGTTCTTGTTAATCCTTGTGACAAAGCATTAGCGAAACAATTTGCTGAAAACCAGTCTGCTTCGCTCTTTCTAATTTTCAATTATATACATACATACATATATACATATATGTGTATATACATACACATATATATATATATATATATATATATATATATAAAAACGGTTACATTATTTTGAATCGATAATTGTGATCGTGAAGCGTTTTAGAACATGTTGAGAATTGTGCCATTGTTAGAAAATAAAGTGAAATTTTCACATTATATCTTGTTTTTACTCGTTACATCATTCTTACCTTTTAAGAGCGAACTTTGACCGTACATAATGTAATATGATCGCTTCGATTCGCATTATTTTTTATTGTTAAAAAGCAATACATCTTTATACAAAACAGCAGTTTTACTAATCGGTCCGTTGGTACAAGTACAGGTATCCCAATTCTTTCGGCGGATTTTCCGATAAGGCGACCTGAAGAATAAAATACCTGAGAAAATCCGTCCAGATTTAAATAGAACGATCATCAACGAGATATAATCGTCATACTTTATCATCATTATATATCACCCATCGGTCCTCCTTCAGCAAGTGACAAACGTAATGGCCTACCATTGTTGACGTGCCCATATGAGATATAAAACCCACCAGTTTGTATCCTGAAACATGAATGTGTTTACATCGAGCCAACTCAACACTTCATACATATGAATGTGTAACTCACGAGGATTCCCGTCTCTGAATAGTTCCTTCGCTTGCGCACCATCGCCTTCCGACTCCTGAGCATCGAGCTCGGTCTGATGACTGAAAATCCACTCGACCGCACGTTCCAAATTGTTATCGGTCGCTCTGAGCGCCTTCATCGCTTGATCTTGCGTGAAGCCCATGCCCATGACCATCGTTAAGGCCTCCTCATTCGCTACAAAATCAGCTTTGCCTGAAATCAATGGAAAAATAAGTTTAATAAAATCTGTCGATACAATCAAGAAAATCTCATTGTCCCGGAGAAAATACTACTGCAGATTACCAATTTTAACATCATTGCAGCTGCCCAAAGATCAAGTGGATTTATTAATACCAGGAGCAATTTTACTGTTATCATTTCTACATCAGCAGGAAGACTCTCACCCGGCTTAACGTCGACTCCCGGTGGCACGAAGGGTTCGGCGATATCGGAGTCCGCGATATGTTCCATCACCCAATTGGTTGCTTCTCTCAGACCCCGGTTTTCCGTGAAATATAGCGCCCGCTTGCACGCCTCCGGCGGAAAACCCATTTCCGCCAATTCATTCAGTATAGCCGTGTCGTAGACAGGAGGTGGTGGTTCTGCGCCAGCGGTCTCTGGCAGTAATTCTTCGCTGGGTTGCAAACCGGTGCCGCGTAAGTAGCTCAGGTCCAACGTATCCGGCATCTCCACCGCCACGTCCAACTTGATGGGAGTCCAATCCTCTTGCACTGTGTATTTTCTCAAGTGTATCAGCAAGTAATCCGGGAAGCTATCCAGTCTTGTGGTTCTAAGGAAAAATTAAGCGAGATTTGTCGTGAATGAGATTTGATCGATTGTTAACAATGTTATGGAAATTTATATAGATACATAGCGAAAAAAAAAATATATATACACAAGGTGGTATTAAAGTTTAAATGTTTATAACTTTTGATAGAAGCATTTTTCAAAGAAATATTTCAGACAAAGTTTACTTGTTTTTTCCCGTAGAATCTAAATATTTAACATTATATAGGGGATCTTATTTGAAACTTTGAAGTTACCCCCCGCCCCTTTTCAAGGGAGGACGGAAGTGGATTTTTGTTTACGCAGTTAGAAAGGCTCTCGAATATATGAAACTTTCTCATGAACTTTTTGATAGGATAAATATGTTTAGAGTTATTAGCTTGTAACACTTGGGCCATCCTGTATATATGATGAATAGTATAAATAATTGGAATGTCGAATGATAAATATGTAACGTTTACTTGTACGCCGTCGTTCTGCCGTTCAATGCCGAGCTGTAAAACTGCTCCACAGTTTCTGAACGAATAAACGTTTCCAGGCACGAGGACAGCTTCAAACGCGGTCTCACGAGAGCGTTGGAATCTAGCTTCTGCCCTTTCGCTTCGGCTTCCTTCTTCAGGTTCTCGTATGCGGCCACTTCGTCCTACGTATATACCATTCGATTGCTTTGAGTAAACAATGATTTTTCTTACCCTTAAAAAGACAAATCGATCAAGTTCCAGCTGCACGTACCTTATTCACCGCGGCTTCCAATGGTATCGGCAGTGGCAGGATATATTCTGGTCGGTAGGTGTATTTGACTTTTTTCGATTTGCCACATTGATATCTCTCCTCCACTCTAAATTTAAAACAATCCATAGGGTTTACCTCGTGCCGACTGTGACGCTATTCAATCAATTTCCTGACATTAGAATCCAAAATGGGTGGGCGTTTATTAAATAGGTTCGATCGCACGTGGACGGAGCGAACGATAGTTCAGCGAAATATAATTACATCGAGTATGTCAATTAAGTGAAGGAGGAATTCCTGTGCATCCTGTTGCCGATTTGAGGAGAAGCCGGCATGACCGCGACCGGCCAGGACCTTAAACATCCGCGGGGGAATACCTTGCCGCGACTCATCGTTCTCTGCGCCACCGGATTTGGTCGGCTCTTCCGAATACTTGCCGGAGAGCAAGCCGGTGCCCAGTTTCGCCCTTTGAATAAGAATGTCTCAATTTATATCATTCTCAAACAATCTCTTTATCGTAACTCACATTTGAATGTTAAAATCGTTTGCCGGATCATTGTAATTCCGCTCATATATTCTCGGTGCTCCATTCACAAATCTGAAATTCACCAAGTTATATAACGTTGATGCTAATGTCTTTTTCGCAAGATAATAGGAATCTCATTGACTAAGATAATAATAGCAATGCCTGAACACTAATAACACTGGTATACACTATCATATGCGCAATCATGCACTAATCTTCTTTAATTAATAATTCAAAATTTTACATGGTTGTTTACGAAATGGTAGAGGAATTTTATGTTCAGTCATACAACGGATGTCATTAGACATCCTGTATATTCTACATTGAAAGTTTAAATATCCATATTTAAAAACTTCAATAAGAAACAATAACAATGTCTAGATTTAGTTATCAGTTAGTGCTATTATTGTCCAGGCACTAGTACTCTTACTTTAAATGGCTATGATAAAAAGTTATTTGTAAAAAAGGAGAGTTGAAAATCACACAATTGAAATGATCTAATAACCTTTTAATGAAATCAGGGATAATGAACAGCATTTGTATGACACTGTTCAGATAGCAGGAGTTCCCAAGATTGGCCAAGCCGGTGTATCCAGGACCGTACATCGGCGTGAGCTTGCTGGCCGTCTCTTGAAGAGCAACCCACTCGCCGAACTTTTGATTTAGATCGAGTTCCAGCTCGATCATTGACTTGTCAGTCTTCTCCATCTGCGCTACATTGATGCCCCAATGCGACAGATGCACTGCCAAGTTCGGATCTTCCACCATGTCGTCCTCGTCGTAAGAAAACACATCGCCCTTTCCTTCCTTCGTGATCGTGCCCAGCTTCACGGCCAGAGGATAATTGGTCGTCCGATAGTGTTCCACCGCGTGGTCGTTGCCGCCGGTTCCATCGAAGAATTTCCGGCCGCAAAGCACACTTCCGTCGGTCAGATTAAGCCAGAGATTCTGCGTGAGCTCGCATTTCTCGCACTTCCAGCCACTTGGCGGGATTTTCTTTCCATTGTCCAGTTGCTTCAAGTTTGCAGCATGCCTAAAAAGCCCAACAAAGTTCACAATCTTAAAAAAAAATTTCTATGATATCTAATTATTAGGGACAACAGACACTAACTGTTGTTACTGTGTCATTGGAAAAAATAAAACATATATTAAAGAAAACATATGCAGTATATAAAGTATCATGCAATTTTAAATTCTATAATATATTTGGCAACTTCCTCATACTTTGAAACTACTTTGATTTCACCATCCCACGTGCCAGCTAAGGCCTCCACTTCTGCCAACTTTGATGCGGATTCTGCCTCTAGTATAGCTTTGACTGCAAATACCAGCTGCCAAAAATTTCACATATTTTAAATATCATTACTACATAATATCATATATAGTATTATATATGATACTTATATCACATATATAATATATAGTCATACATATTTTATAGTCACATCAATCTCTTAAATAAATCTTACCTGTTCAGGTAAATCATTGGCTGGATATGCAATACTCGTGAAGTTTGGTAGGATAACTATCTGATAAGTGTCATGATAAGTATACTTCTGTTGGTCGGGTGTAAATCCACCAGCTGTTCCGATGGCAAGCCTAGTGATCTTTTTTTCAGGACCATCTCCTTGCTGTGCAGATGGAATCTACAAAATTGCCCAATTAAACAATTTCTCAACTTAAAGAGATTTTCAGATTAAAACTTCTTACTTGTTATTTATAAGTTTAATGAATCAAAATTACCTCTTTCTTTATACGTTTTATATGAAGAAAGATAGGATTGCCAGTTTGCTGGTGATATCGTAGAACGTGATCCTGGCTCAAGCCGATAAAAGTAGTAAGACTAATGTAGAGACCGGTGGGCGTGTCCTTGAAAAAAATGTTTTGTTTATAACACTCGCACGCAACGATCTCGTTGAGAATATCGCCGGACACAAAGGACATCGGACGAAGAGTTTCTTACTGGCGTGTCGAAGGAGTAAACACACTCGTCCTTATATATCTTGTCACCGGGTCGCGGTATCCGTATCTTTCCTAAATGTTGCGCCAATTCGTCCATGACGAAGAAAGAAAATGTCGGTATTCAGCAATTTCCCTTATTCTTCGAACTGTCACGGCAAACCGCGCGAAATCCGGGCTAATGACTTTTGACCTAACTTAACCTAACCAGCACGATCACCACCGGTTTTGGTTATCGATGATGCTGCATGAATTGAAAACAGAGACAAGACAGAACGGCTACGCAGGTGTTTTACTCGATGCTTTGCACGCCTGTTTGCTACGCCACCTGCACTCATGTTTTAATTAAAACTACTTCACTACGTCCATTTTCTGACACTATCGATAAAATCTCTGTTTGGTACAAGTCCGTGCTACGCCCACAACTTTTGTAAGTGAAAAACACGATGCCGTGCGTAAATAACAATATAATATAAAATAGAAATAATAAATACACTAGTTTCACAAATTGGAAAGAATTCCATAGTTCTCCTATAGATCTCACTAATCATTGAGTTATAATACTTCACAAATAAAATCAGCTGACTTGTCATTGACTTATACTACCTCCTCGATTTCTCAGTCAGAACAGCGGCGGCTCGTAGTAGAGACTTTGGCCCATATTCTGAATCCTCTTTTATCGATAAAAATATCTTAAATGTAGCTTCTCAGCCAATCAGGTGGCTCATAAACTTCTTTTAAAGACACTTTTATAGATAAAAGAGAATTCAGAATATGGACCTTTGGAACAAAAATAACGGGTCTATCCGCAAGTAGAATTTAGACCCGTTATTTTTGTTAGTTCCAAAGTCTCCGCTACGAGCCGCCACTATCTTGACTGAGGAAGCGGCGACGTAGTATAAGTCAACGACAAGTGTCAGTCAGTCGATGATTTTACTTTTAAGATATAGCCAAGATTAAACAAGATTAAACAAGCAACTTTGACAAAAATAATAATAACGAGATGGTTCAAAAAGCATTATACAGCTTGAAATCTTTACTTTTCAGATATATTATATTTTTAATATTATTCGTCGTTTTCCGCGACGATTTATTGACTTAAATAAGAAATAGCGCTCACACAATTTGCAACTTTATTTTTCTATTGAATTCTTACATCGAAATATTATTTGTATCAACATAATAAATAATTTTATAGATCTTAAAATACTTTATATCAAGATATTTACTTTAGTATTTAGTACTTCAATATCTGGAGTACGATTGAACAAAAAGGATTTTTAAAGGTTTCAAAAGTTTACGAAGTAATTACAATGAAGACAGATTTTAAAAACATGATTTATTCATTCCTTATTATATCCATGTCGTATCTGTAATAATATGCGATTTACTCTCTAAATTTTTTTGAATGGAGTGTCACTCAAAACGAATGAAAAATGGCAGCATTTTAACTCAAAGCAATAGTGAAAATACTGCTACTTGACTCGCGTGAGTAAATGTTTCACTCAAGTTTAGGATGAATTCTGACTCCGTATGAGCGAATGTTTCAGTCAATTAGAGTGAATATGTTCCTGCACATAACAGTGAAGTATATATTAAATTCACTCTTTAATTTCGAGTGAAAATATCCACTCGACGATTCAGAGTGCAGAATAGGCTCTATATGAGTAAAAAATCACTCGAATTCAAATGATTCGGTCACTTTCTGAGTGAAATTTCACTCCAAAAAATCTAGAGAGTATTCAACACTGTTATGCAATGCAGTTAGATTCATGATATAATAAAATATTAAAATAATAAAATCTTTATAATAATGTATACTTTTCTGTGTCACGACAATAATAATTGCAGCAGTAAACATAAAACTAATTACACAATATTAATTAATTATGTGCAACCAATACCGATCATGCTACGACGGTCGATAATTCAGGGTAGAGTTTAGTAGAAACTATAATAACAGTAACAACAATCAGTAACAAAAAATGACAACGACAACGACCATAATTGTCAAAACGTTAGTGTGTTGATGAAGTCGACGTCTCGACGTCGTCACTGATTAGCGATGTTGCGACAAGATAGCAACATCGTGGTTTGTCATGCTCTGTCGACATTTTATAGTAATCAAATATGGAAAGATCCGGTAACCGATATTTTAATTAAAATATTCGTAATTTTCCGACTCTGGCCAATTATTGCCACTCGTTAAAATAAAGAAATAATCAAAAGTCGTACATGCGTATTATGTTCTTTGCTGCTCTTATTTTTACTTTTTTGTTCGACTTTGTAAACTTTAAAGCGACAAGTTTATCGGTTACCATTTGTTCACGACTCCAATCATTTCCTCATTTCATCACTTGTAACTTAGCACTTTCTTTTTCTATTATTAGTTGAACTAATATGTATATATATAGACGCAAACTTACGCGCGAACGCGCATAAATGCATTTGTTTATATACAATTCCGTCTTAGAAGAGACAGGCCGAGCCGTTATAAAGGCTATAACATTTCTTCTTTTTTTATCAAAAAAATCATGCAAATGATCACATACTCGTCCCAACGAAACAATTTTCTCTTTCTACAATTTTTTATCAAATTAATTATTTTTTGTCACATCTTTATCTCGAATATTCACGAATTTTGAGCACATTGAAGTTCAATCATTATTATATTATCACATGATATCTTAGTTACTATACACTTCTTTTGATAATTATGCATACATTATTATGCCTACATTTTCAATTGTAATAACAATCACATTAATAAGACAGAAGAAAGAGAAGCTTTAGGCGTGCCCGAAAATCTTAGAATTCCTGTTTTTATCACGATGAAACTTATCAAAAACGATACAGCCTTTAATTACTCGACTCGGTTAAAAGGATATGATTTTCATTTTTTTTTTTAGAACAAAGCATTACATATCGCCGAACGCACGATGCCCGTTGCGCGAAAACACGGATTATTGTTCATACATTAATCTGTTTCGAATATCAATTGCGTGTGGAAATGCATTGGCACACTCGGCGAGCGTTCGCTTCCTCGGCAGCGCTCACAAATTTCGTCGAATAAGAAGAATGCAAAAAGCGTCGACCGATGAGACGTTAAAGATGACATCAGTCGAGTCGCTATTTAAAAAAGAATCATCGACAAAAAGATCGTTCCAAAAATATCAAATCTAGACTCAAGCGTCTCGACTCATGCATGTTTCCCGTTCATCGAACGTTCGCTTGAACACTGGTGAACGCGAACTGCGCTCCGCTATCGCATGCCGCTGGATTATACATGTAGCAAACGATAACGCCATTGAACTGAATGCACCGGGGCAATCGGACGCGTATTCGGGTATTGCAGAAACTAGAAGCGGGATTTCACTGCAAAATTTTTCGACGGTCTTTCTCTCACAAGTAAATTTGAAATTCCAAGAGGTTCCGAAGAGATAACTAGATATTTACGGATCAGCAACACTTAATTCTCAGATTTCTTTTATTGGCGACAAAAGAAGAAAAGAGCTAAGTGTGTACGACAAATATAAACACATTTCCCAAAATAATCGTCTTAATTTAATCGAAGCCGTGGAGAAAGACCTAAACTCCGTGAGGAAGCTTAAAAGTCGAGAATTGCAGGGTGGAAGAAGAGAATTGCAAAGTGGAAATTAGCTGATTCTTCGAATTCGAATTAATGCTGTCAATGTAACCCAGATATTTTTATACCCAAAAATTTAAGAACATTCGGGTGTTGGAAATATATTGATAGCACCAATCCTAATCTCTAATTCGCAATCTTCCATTTTCAAGACCTAAAACTTAATTAGTCTCAACGAGCCTAGTCTTAATAAGACCCAGACTAGTGTCAAATTTAGGCTTCACATGTCCGCGGTATTTGCCTGCTTCCAATTTCTCCGATTGGCCTCGCCGATGCGTTCAAAACAATGTTATTAATTTTATACGCGTGCTCACACCGCGTTGCGGTCCAACAAGCCGCCTAGTAGATCCGGGCCTACTTGCAGCAGACACGCAGCGGACTCGCTGACGTCATAGTCGAAGCTGTCGAACGACATCGCGCACGTTGTCGGCGAAACCATGCTGCCGCCTCCACCACCGCCGGTGAAGGGTCCACTTAAGTGTCCTCTGGTGTCCGGGCTGAGCTGGTCCAGAGATATGACGCTGTTTACGTCCGTGCACTGCGGTACCGTCTGATTGTCCACGTTGACGGACAACGGGGACGTCAAGCTCCTCGATAACAGGCACGTCGGCACGTTGCGCGAGTCCATCAGAGTGTCCTGGGGGAGGAAGGAAAAGAAAACAGTCAGTCAGAAAATCGCCTCGTAAAACAAAAAGAAAAAATACAATAATACGTAAAAATAATTCTGAGAGAGGGAAGGATTCGTTTATCGCGAATAAGAGCTCGTTCTTCTCGCGAGTCGACTTGAGGAAGATACTATGAGAGAACCGCTGCGTTTCGCGGGGGAAAGAAAAGAGCGGGTGAAGAGGGAACGCGCTGGCGCGTTCCCTCGATAAATCTATTTTCCGGCACTAGACGGGAGGGAGGGAAAGGATTCTCGAGGGGCTCGTTCTTGTGTTCGCGTGACTCGAACAGAAGTAGAAAACCCCGAGATGTGTGTCGAGCGCCGTGACCGTGACTATCGCGACGACGTAATCTAATGCAATTGGCAAACTGGTAAACTCGCGCAGATTGTGGGGAACAATAGCCGCTGTGGAATCGTGATATGGCTATTTTTCGCGGACCTACGACAAACGAAGGACTCGATGTGCATTTTATCTCTTGATTGCCAATCAATCCGTATATATATTCTTTTCCAATAATTTGACGGAAATCCCTTTACGGCCCAAAATCCACTTCTGCTTTTTCCTGTGAGTGAGATAAACCAATTCTGTAATTCAAAATTGTAACAAAAAAAGGATAAAAAAAGAATATTTCAACATAAGACGGGAAGTACTTTTTACCGCTCTTTTATTCTTAACCAATCGAATATCAATTTAAACTACGGTAAATTTGTTTTTTTTTCTTTTCTATTCAAGGAACTTCAATTTTGAACTCCACAGTTAGTTCTTATAACGATTCAATTCGACACAAAATCATACAAACGCGGCAATTGTATATAACTCATCTAACATCGATCCTCGATGATAAATCCGAATGTGAACCCGCGAACGGCAGAACAGCGATAGGTACTGAGGAATGACAGCAATGGGAGGGAAACGAAACGCAGCTGGTCAGGTGATTCGATGCTCCATGTATTTTTTATAATATTCAATCAACAATTCCATATACTTTGCATTAGTGTACACAACGTGGCTCTAAAGTACGCTTCGTTTAACCCTACGATGTTCAACTTTGAGGCCCGGGAACAACACCGAAATAACACCACACATAATTATCTGATCACGCATACAACTTGGAAAGTCATGGTATAACTTACAGGCCTTTCTCTCTTTGTCTTTCTGTCTAACTACTCGTTAGCTCTTCGTATCTTACTCCAGGTGATACGAAGGAAAGCTTAATTAACGTCTAAATTATACCGCGTAAACTATACCGCGAATATCTTTCCTCTACATAAGATTAATACCGAACACAGTGCGTTTTAGGGCTAAACAATCGAGCGAAACTAACTCGCTCCATTTGTATCTCCTCTTCGACTCGCAATTCGTAACAAACCCTTTCTTTCTTTCTTCCTCTAAGCGCGTAACTTCTCCCCAATTTCCTTTCCTCTCCCGAGTGACCGCAGTCTATCAAACGAGAGCGTCACTTCTGTGAGCGTTCAGAAACTCAGCCGAAATCGTCGTAGGGACGCGAGATCTCCAATTTTCAGTTTCCGATCGACGCGAGTCGCAAGTTCAAGGAACAGACGGAAGCACAAAAAGAGAGGCAGAACCGTCGTTTCGGGAATCACGCCGGATCTCTATCGAATTCGGTGCGGAACGCGCGAAATATCGGCACAAACGCCTCATTCCGAACACCGGAGACGTTCTCACGTGCTCGCGATACCCTTCAACGGCTTCGGCTTCACCAAGCAAACATATCCCGCACTCACGTCGCAGCCGGAAACCAGGAGATTCATTAGTACGCTACTGCCGACGCCGCAGGACGAATTCCTCCGATTGGCGTCGATATTGTCCAGGCCCGTGAGACTGCCGTCGCGATTACCGTGACCGTCGTCGCGACGCCCACCTCCACCACCTCCCCCGCCGCGGTCACCCTTCGACTCAGCGAGAGAGTCGATGATGCCGTCGAGAACGCGGACACGTTCCGGCGCGTCGCGACGCAGCTCGCCAATTTCGCCGTTCGACGGCAACGACGATGGCGGCGACGGCGACGACGACGACGACGACGACGACGACGACGACGACGACGACGACAACGACGACGACGACGACGACGACGACGACGATGACGACGACAACGCGCCGCCCACATCATTGTAGGTGCGCGATGACGTGATGCCCGGCGTCTGCGAGACCAGACGACGCAACAACTGGCTGCCGCAGGCGCCGCCGAGACCTTGCTTCCTGCGAGACGTCATCGAAGGCCGCTGTTGTAGCTGCTGCTGTAACTGCTGTTGTTGCCTCGTCAGCGAGGTATTCTCGGGGCGCACCGCGAGGAGGACATCGCGCCGCTCGAACGGCGAGCCCCCGCACTTGAGACGCTTGTGCTCGCTCTCCGAGTCCAGGCAAGGCGCATGGATGCGCTTGCTGGGACGGTCCGAAGTTCGTTCCTGGTTGGTGGACCACCGCTCGGACTCGAAAGTTGCATCTGTAATGTCAAGGCAAGCCGTGCACGTTGCCGTTAACATGCTTCATTACACCTCACGTTGTAAATGTTGCACTGAGAACATATCGCCGCTATATAATATTGGAGAACGGATTATTTAAAGTAACCTAATAAGAGATTTGAGCGCTTACTCTTTTTGGGTATCTGTCCGAAGACCTGTGCCGGGTTTACCAGACTTCCGCCGTAGTCGTACATGTTGTATCGCCGTGACGTCGTCATTTGCTCAGTCCGTAGCAATTGCGCCAGGCTAGAGTCGGCCCCGCGTTGCTCCCGATCGTCGGACAGCCTGTCGGGATGAGAAACGATAGAATGATGAAAACGACACACTCGTCAAACAGAAACAAAATATTCCGTTATACCTTTTCATAAATGTCTTTGGAGGCATTTTTCAATTACAAGTATCGTGAAAATTCTGTTCCTACCTACACATGTGTAATCACATTTACCACTTCGAGGATCCTTTGTCGGGAGACTGTGACGAACTCCACATGACCATATCGTCGCTGATGAGTAACTCCAACGCCTCGTCTTGATCGGACATCGGGATGTAGGGTGCTCTAAGCGCTAGCTCGTCGTCCCCTATACTATCGCTGATGCCTAACATCAGCATCTCATCCTCGGAGAGTCCGTCACCGCCGCTGCCTCCTGTAGGACTACCCAGTGAGTCAACGCTGCGCTCAGGACTCTAAAGCAAAATGTAGTGTATCAGTCACGCAGCGCGTATATTAATAATAACGATAGGAATTCTCGTCGCTCACCTGTCGGTACTTTGAGAGGGAGGACGACACAGTGCTTGGGTCGATGCCGCAAGGACTCTCGGGTGAGTCGCCATACATGAAAGGATCGCTGTCGGCCAGACGATCAGCCGCAGCTTTGGTTCTGGTGATGTCCACCACCAGGTCGGTGTCCTTGAGGGATTCGCCGAGATCTGTGGTTGATCGCAGTTCGGGTGCCAGGGCTCCGCCGGGGCTCAGCAGCTGGCAATAATTGTCGTTGTCAAGGATGAACTCGTTCAACATATCTGATAAGAAAGGCGTGTCCTCCAGAGGCACGCACACGTCGCCGGCTGTGGGCGCGAGATGCGTCAGATCCTCTGGCTCGTCCTTCAACACTGAAACAATGAAGTGAAAGCATAATTTAACGTGGCTATTTCTTCCCGGTTTTCTTCGGTTATTAGCCACCGTGATAAACATTGGTAAGGTTTTCGTCTTGAAGGATCTAATTTCTTTCTTTATTTTAGAAAACACATACTGGTGAGACCCGGCTGATCCTCGCTGAAAGTTAAGAAGCCCTTGTTCATGTCCTCGGTGCGAGGCGCGAAGATGCTCGCTGTGGCCGTCTGTGGCGATGGTCGACAGGATAGTTGCTGCTGTTGTTGCTGCTGCTGCTCCTGCTGCTGCTGTTGCGCGAGGGGTGCAAACAGGTGCCTCGTGACCGCATGCGGACGTCCTCTGCGTCCGGGATTGTCCAAAGAATCACGCTCGATTGCCGGTTTACCCTGAAATCAAGAAACGCGCGAGCGCATGACGATCCGGCCCGATAATATATACGGCCCGATAAAACTTCCAAGAAAGATATCAACAATTCGACTCGCTTCCATGTAAAACACAAGCTGCGACCAGACGAGAAAAAGAATATTTGCTGTTACAACTTAATCTTCTAGCTTGGCAAATTTGTAGCTGTGCGCGGAAAAAATTTGATCGGATTCATTTCAATATTTCGTTAATTCAATCAAATTCTTTTTCCGTGTGTGATATATAGACAATCGGTTTTCCATATGTTACAATAATTGCATTAAATTGGAATAAATTGAAAATCAATTATGAATTACAGTAATTGTAAATTAAAATTATAAAAATTACATTTGAATTAAAAAATTAAATTTTAATTAAAATTGAATTTTATTTCAAATTCAAATGAAATGAAAACGTTGAATTTATTGATGCAGTAAAAACAATTCTTTAAAAATTTGCTAAATTAACTATTTTTCTCCGTAATATGCACTGATATCGGTCATTACCTGGAATATGAAAGGTGTACTCGCGAATGACGGCCGGCAGTCCTCCTGTCGCTCAGCCACTGCTGGCTCGTCGTTCTCCTTCCACTCCTTGATCGATTCCTCGAGGGACTCCTTGAGACCCTGCACGCCGACAAAGGCCTTCTCGTCCTGAAGCGATTTCGGGAAAGCGTTGTCCTTCCGTGAGCTGTTCTTGCAAGTATCGTTTCCGTTTGCCGAACGTTGGAAGATCGAGGCTGTGACGGCGAGCGGCCTCGGACGATCTCGGTCGCTCTTTCTCGGCGTGTCGTCGTCGTCGTCCACGATCGCCAGTTGTTCCGCGACGACGTCCGCGGGCACCGCGTCTTCTTTCTTGTCGTTGTTGTTGTCGTCGTCGTCGTCGTGCAACGCAGTTGGCTCAGTGGTCGGCACCAACGCCGGCAATGACTTCTCTGACTTCACCAGGTCGGCACTGTCACGTCCGGCCAACTGACGATCGCTGTACACCTCATCCTCGTGTTCGATCCCACTGCAAGCAGAATCGCAAGCCGCCGCGTGGATAACCTGCCCCTCTCTTTCTTTCCTTTTGCACAGTCTCATACAGCCTTGGAACACGTCAACCAAAAGCTCGACGGCCCAAAGAAGAAGTAATGAAAAACGAAGGATCGCGCAAAAAACGCAATCAGGTTGATCGACGCGACATAGAAAGTTTTCTTTTACTTCTCTTTCGAGAAACTAATTCCAATCTCTTCTTTTCAAGTCATGCGACCGTAAGAGAGTTATCTCGCTAGAGTTTTCCTCTGATGCATCGTCGATCGACTGAAATGTGTTAACGGTGGTTCTTATCTGACGTGCGACAATCGGACGATACTACGTTATTACGACAGACCGCGATACGAAGGCACGGCGCGTTTATCACGAACGAATCACGCGTACACACACGACACGACACACGACTCGACGTGAAACTTCGGCAACTCGCATCTCTCTCTCTCTCTCTCTTTCTGTTCCTAACTCCTTCCTCTTTCTACATCTCGCGAAATATCACGCGTGTGCGTGATTTTACAACGGAACCGCTCACGAGCGTACTACGATGTCTGGCATGTTGCAGCTGTGCCGTAACAAACGTGGGGCTCCGGAAGTTTCAAAAAAAGCACCGGACGAAGCTTTCATGTCCAAGAGGAGATCCGAAACGAGCGTGAAGCTAACGTGACGAGACTGCGCACGGAGCTTTGCTCACCGATCGTGCTCGGCGTGATCATTCAATCGATGATTTATGTCACCCTCACCTTGGACGTAAAACTCGCTTTTTCGATTACGATGACAGAGATACGCGCAAAAAGTCGCGGTAATCTTGAATTCGTCGTTCCCGTCTGCTGCTCCGCCGCAGGTACGCACACATGTGTAAAGCCCGTGTCAGATTAGATGTCGAAGATTGAGGATCGTCAATGCAGGATTGGAACTTGATTGATCGGGGCGAAGTGAATCTGGTTTGAAATTAACTGACTTGTCGAATTCTAATCTCTAAAATCCGTAACTTCTAGAGGTCTTTGATATCTAAGCTTCTGAACTTTCTTTTATCGGTAAAACTGCCTCCGTTGTGAATGTGTTTAAAAGCCAATAAAACAATTAAACCAATGATTTATAAGTCACATTTAGAGGTATTTTTATCGATAAAAAAAAGAGTTCTAAATAAAGTCTGAACTCTCTTTTTTATCGATAAAAGTGGCTCTTAAATGTGCTTAGAAGCCAATCAGAAGGCTCATAAGTCATTTAGAGGCATTTTTGAGAGAAAAAAGAAACTCACACACACATAGAATAACGGCCTTGGCTGATAAGGGCCTGATGAATTGACTGCACCGCACACACACCACGCACTGCGCACACATCGCTCTATCCGGAGCAGCCTCCGCTCCGGATCATTCAGCATTCACCCGGACTTTCGTACTCTCTGACGGCGGCGCATCGTTGCCCTCGTGCAATCTCTTTCTTTCTTTCTCTCTCTCTCTCTCTCTCTCTCTCTCTGTCGTTCTCTCTCGGCGGGTCCTGACCCGCTCTCGCGAGAGCATGTTTCATGGTCTCTTTCTCTTCCCCCCTCCCACTCTCTCTGTCTCTCTCTCATCGTTCCCTCACTCTCTCGTCAGCTCTCTCGAAGCAGAAGCTCACCGTAATCGCGAGAACGCGCTTATGTAATCGGCTCGCCAGTCGACAGCTTTTTCCGCACGTCACGCGCTCCGCGTCATGGCTGATTTTCCACGCCTTTGTTTCCGAATCGAACACGGCCGATCGATGATCTGCGATTGGAAGGTACCCCTGTCCCACTGAATGAAACCCAGCGAGGTCGTCTTTCCGCAATTTTTCTTCCCTGAGCAAGAACGAACCACCTTGCACACTATGGGGTGCACTAGGTGTGTTCTAGCGGCCACATCGACCTCATCTCCGACTTCGGAAACGTCGAAGTTTCTTTTCTCTCCTATTCTTTTCCTCTCTTCTTCTTTTCTCTGAAGCACCAAAGATATATGCGCCGGTGAATCGCAAGTCCATCGTTCGATTAACAACCAACACACCGCGCTACACCTCGGGCTATATATTGACTTCGATCCTCGATATGCCACTTTTCTCTTACGTCACACGCATTACAGCGCTTTGCATACGCGAACAATGCCATTATTACCGGTGCGCGAAGTCGCGCCAGTCGATTCATCATCGATGTATGCGATCAATTGATGGGGCAATTTTTGATAGACCTTGGCGGTTTTGCCTAGAAGCCTCTCCGTCCCTGCATCGTCTACTCTTTAAATAAATTTTTTAAACTAAATTTCCCTCAAAACCAGCAAAAATTCACCCGATTCTACGATCGTCTATTCTCTATATTCCTCTAAACTAAATTTCCCTTAGAACTAATGAAGATTCACTAGACGATTCTGAGTGGAGAATTCACTATATACGAGTGGAATATCACTCGAATAACTCAACTGTTACTTTGCTTTTTCAGTAGAAATTCTGTCGAGGAAATTTAGAGAGCAAACGAGACGAGCGGCGAAAAATTTCGCGATTAATCGTTCAAGGTTCTCTCTCTTCCTTGTCTATGACGTGACACATACTCGCGAACTCACGTACAGCCGATTACGCCCATATTATTTCTTCGATCACATGGAGCATAGTTTCCAACGATTTTACGGCCTTAACCTCGAAGATAACCTTAGTGTATAAATATATCGAGTTAAACAACACAACGAATTCCGTTTGCATTCTTTTAACCCTTATGGCTCCCGTGATGCGCGCAAGCTTTGAATATTTCTCGTTTACTCACTTTTTCTCGGCATGTTGATTACCGTGACCAAGTGTATTATGCAAGATAATATAGAACACATATATAGAGACAAAAATCTATAACGAAATTTATATACTTTTTATCTATTGATTGACAGATCAGCGATGAGAAGTATGAGCAAACACGATATCGGCACGGCAATCTCTAAAGTACACAAGTAGTAAAATCTGGCTGAAAGGATCAGTTAATAGTAACGATTATTCTCATTGTTGATACATTTTGCGAACGCAATCACGTTGCACGCAAAGCACATGGGAGTCGTTAATTCCATCGTCATTGAGAGAAAAAAATCTAAAGAAATAAAAAATATTTATTCGGTGGGTAACATATTTACATATATATTTAATAACATATTTATTTATATCAGAATAAAATATTTTTCAAATAAGAACATATACATTTCCTTAAAACTTTGACTATTCATAAAAGCGATTACTGATTCTATTTTTAAATAATAAAATTTACACTTAAGTAAATATATTATTAGTACATATCAAATAAATATTTTTTATTTCTTAGATATTTTTTTTCTCAGTACACAAACGCAGAAAGTCGAATTTAGTACACGAAAAAAAAAAACAATTCTCTTGGTGCAACCAAATTTTCGGTTACTCAAGGATCAGACGAAAACTTGGCTGTAGGAACAGAAAAATTCCTTTATGAAGCTTCTGCATAGTCAATTGTTCTCAATTGCCTCAACCAAGTTCTAATATCGTTGAATATTCAGACGAATATTTTCGGTTGCGACAACAGAAATATTAGTTTTCATAACGGAGATATCGCTTCTGATCACCTAATTTTCAGTTGGTTCCTATTTGCACCAACTGAAATTTTTTTTGCGTGTATAACGTACAACGAATTAACCGCAAATTTTGTGAAATCTCATTCCACTTCCACTGATTAAATCAGTGAGAAATAAGACGGAGTAAAGAGTGGAAATATTTCCATCGAAAATCAGTGAATACTCGTTGATCATCGGTGAAATAGTCTTTTTACTGATTTAATCAGAAATTAATATTTTTACTCATTTACTTTAAGAAAAATCAGGGAACTTTTCACACCGAGCTGTCATCGATTCGCATGTGCGGGACACGTGCGCGCGTGGCACGATTTTGCGGATTCGTCCGTGCGTCTTCTCTCGCGATCAAAGATTTGCGACGCTGACAGGATTCATCGCGGATGCGTGCACACGGATCTACGCGGAGAACGCTAAGTGACTTTAACCGGTCGCAACAGCTCGGTAATTGCCGCAAATTGACCAGCGGACCCTAAACGCACGCGCTACGTGTGCGTGGTGGTGCGTGGACGCGTGCAAATCACGTACGCGAACACCGAACCCGCTCATCGTGTGTGCGCCCGAGACGAGAATCCATTTGGATCGAAGAATGAGCGAGCGAGCGAGCGAATGTATTATAGCTCGGAAAGAAAATTCCGTCATAAAATTAGCTAGCGTAAGACGCACAGCGAGAGCAAGGACGTAATACGGAAATTGTTGAGTCTATCCTAACATGAAATAAGTTACATTGGCGTAATGATCTGCGCGATTATTCGCGAAGAGATTTAAAAAAATAAAAAAAAATCACTAACCTCTTCACACACGCATACCCTCGTTTGAAAAAAAAATTATACGCGCAAGAAATGTAGCTACAACATAGAAAAAATAATATAAAACAATAATAGAAAAATATTATTTTGTCCTTAGTGCAAAAGGTAAAAAAAATCATTTAAAAATCGTTTTTTAAGTTTATGTATCCTATCTGAATAAAATTATATAAGAAATGTTGCTGCGATAATAATACGAAAAAATAATTTAAAAAAATAATATGCCTAATAATATATCCAAAAAATATAATCTCATCCTTATCCTAGAGAATTTTATTCATACACAGCTTCATATTTGTCTAAAATCAAAAGAAAAATATTTGAAGCATCATATTCTTAAATTTAGAGGAATTTTGTCTTTTATTTCCAGGTCTTGTGCTTGTCGTGTTTTATATCGCGCGTGAGAAGGTATTCTACTTCAAGCAACATGTCTCTCGATTCGAAAAGAAAAATGTTAAAATAATATCTAGTAGATTAATAGTTCTGTTTTTATTAAAAGAGGAGTACTCTTTCAACAAAAATTTCTGCTTGCAATACGGGATTACAGGGAAAAGCAACTTTTTTCCGGGTATGGAAAAAAATAGTTCCTCCAA